CTCCTCCTCCTCCTCCTCCTCCTCCTTCTCCTCCTTCTTCTCCTTCTTCTCCTTCTTCTCCTCCCCCTCCCCCTCCTCCTGATCCTCCTCCTCCTTCTTCCTAGCATATTTCCGCAGGTGCAGAGTCTGCTTTTTGGATCATTGAATGCCACTTTACACAGTCAGCTGTGTCTCCACAACACAGACCCACAGCTTGCATAACTTTGTTGATGGTATCTTGCCATCTCTGTTTTGGATGCTTGCAAGGTTGCAGGCTATTGACTTCTAGTTGGTAGACTTCTCGTTGGCCATGGTGGGAGGTGCTGTTCTCTGGACGTGTCCATACTAGCAGAGCTGGCCTTCTCCTATCTTCTCTGTAATTGGTGCCACACCAAAATGTTATATCGAACGGTGTCATTTGTGATGTGATCAAGAAGGGGGGTGTCCGGTATCCAACGGAGCCTTTGCATTTCCATGGCATGGGGAGAGCTTTCGGATCCCTGTTGTTGCTGCCCAGCATTCAGTGCCATACTGTGCAACAGGGCGGATGGTTGTCTTGTAGATCTTAGATTTAAGACAGGTTGTGGCATTTGTCTGTCCCGTAACACACCTGGTGAGTTCTCGTCAACGCATCCAGGCTGCCTTCACCCTTGCTCGCACCTTGCCATTGATGTCGCCATTGACTTGGAGGTGGGATCCCAGATACCCCAAAATGTCCACCATCTTTAGGTTTTCTCCACTGATTTGAAGCATTCCAGAAGTGGGGACACTCTCTTAGGTACTCAAGTTTTCTTGATGTTGAAGCGGAGTCCAAAATGGTTGAGGCAATCATTCCATGTTTGAACTTGCTGCTGTGGTTCGCCTGTGGTCGTGGAAGCGAGCATAACATCATAACATCATGCTCTAACAGCGTAGAGCTTAGTCCAGGGTGTGTTCTGCTGTGGGTCATGCGTCATGGTATCCATGACAAATATAAACAGGAGTGGTGAGGGAGAGAGAGAGAGGGAGGGAGAGAGAGAGAGGTAGGAGATAGATAGATGATAGATAAATGATAGATAGATAGATAGATAGATAGATAGATAGATAGATAGATAGATAGATGATAGATAGATAGACAGATAGATAGATATAGATGGTGTGTGGATGGATGGATGGATGGATGGATGGATGGATGGATGGATAGATGGATAAATAGATAGTGGATGGACATAGAGACATAGAGACAGACAGACAGACAGATATAGTTGGTTTTTGGATGGATGGATAGATGGATAAATAGATGATGGACATAGAGATAGATAGATTGGTATGATAGATGATAGATGATGGATGGATGGGTAGATAAATGATAGAGATACATAGATGATAGATGATAGCTGATAGAGGAGAGAGAGAGAGAGAGAGAGAGAACTTGAGTGGTCAGAGTGATAGAATGAATGAATGAATGAATGAATGAATGAATGAATGAAATAAGGTTTGAACACAACCCTGGAGCTCTTGAGGTGACTTTGTGCCTTTGACTTTAATGCAGGTGCTCAGGTTAGAGTGACTGAATTTCCCACCTAAACTTCGGATACCACAATGAAAAACCACCAGGTAGGAGTTTTTGTGAGAAGGTATTCAGATCCTTCCAACCTGTTCCTGGATGGGCGGTTTAAATGGGAACAATGGTGCAAACTGGGGAGGGGGGAGAAATCCTTTCTCTTTCTTCTTCTTCCCTTCGCCGTTGTTTGCAAAAAAATTTATCTGGCTGAAGGCTACAGGTTGTCTTCGACTTATGACCGACGATTGAGACTGGAAATAATAATAATAATCAGATTGCTCCGATCTTACCAAGAATATCCTAACATTGTTCTGTGTTTATTGGAAGTTCTAGCGAATTTGAGTGCCAAACTTCCATGCTCCAAACAGCTGTTATGAACTAGAAAGGTTTCCCATTCTAATTATTTGGCTACAGGCCAAATAATAATAATAATAATAATAATAATAATAATAATAATAATAATAA